TTATTTATTGAAATATGTCTTAGTTCGATTGAAATTGATATTTTGCTCTAAAATACATTTTCTTAAGATAGATATTTCTGCAATAAAAGCAAGACTACAAACTTACCAAAATACACAAAGTGACTTCCTTATCAAAATGCTTTTCTCTATCCCTATGTAAGAATATAATTTATTAAAGTATGACTTTGCTCCATTGAAATCGATTTTCTAGAAATACATTTTTCTCAGTTACAGTTTTCTGAAAAAAAGCAAAGCTATAGGCTTACTAAAATGCAAAAAATTTGGCGGAAACTTTCCCTCGAAAAAGTTGCTTTTCTTTATTCTTAAGTGAGATTATAAATTCTTGAAATTTTTCTTGGATCCATTGAAAATGATTTTCTACTTTAAAAATTTGGCTTTTTGGATAAAAATTCTGCAAAAAAGCAAGGCTATAGGCTTTCCGAAATGCCAAAAATTTGATCGATTTTTTTTCCTTTAAAAAGTTCCTTTTCTTTCTTTTCTTCTTGGCGCAATTGAAATTTTTTTTGTCTAAAAATACAGCTTTTTGAGTTAGAGATTTTTGCAAAAAAAGCAATGCTATAGGCTTACCAAAATGCCAAAAATTTGATCGGATTTTCTACATTTTTCCTTCTAAAAAATGGTTTCCTTTCTTCCTACATAAGGATATAAATGATTAAAATATGTCTTTGCTCCACTGAAAGTGATTTTTGCTCCAATAATGCAGCTTTTTTGGTCATAGATTTCTACAAAAAAGCAAGGCTATAAGTTATAAAAAGTTCTCAATTTTTACCAAAATGTATTCTGCCAAGAAACTGCTTTTTTCTATTCCTAAGTAAGAAATATATGTTGAAATATGTATTTACTTCATTGAAATTGATTTTCTGCTCTAAAATTGAAGTTTTTTCAGTTACCGATTTCTGCAAAAAAGCAAGGCTAGAGGCTTACCAAGATTATTTAAATTGTGACAGAATGTTTTTCCTTCGAAAAGTTATTTTTCTTGATTCCTAAGTAAGAATTTAAATGCTTGAAATACGTCTTGGCTATTTTGAAAATTATTTTCTGCTCTAAAAATGCAGGTTTTTTCTTTTATGGATTTCTGGAAAAAAACAAACCCTTAGGCTTAGGAAAATGTTCGAATTTTGACCGAATTATTTTCGTCAAAACTTTCCTTTCTCTATTCTTTATAAGATATGTAAACGCTTAATTTATTTGTTGTCTTTATTGAAAGCGGTTTTTTGCTTTAAATGTGCAGTTCGTTGGCTACAGACTCCCGCAAAATTATTAAAGCTATAGGCTTACCAAAATAACAAATTTTGGACCGATACTTTTTCCTTCCAAAACCTTGTTATCGATTTTCCCTATTATCAATTTAAATGCTTCCATTATATCTTGGCTCTATTGTGAGCGATTTTGTGCTTTAAAATCTCAGTTTTTCAGTTACAGATTTCCGCAAAAGTTTGTAAGGATATAGTCTTATCACAATAACTAAGTTTAGTCTTAACATTTTTCCTTCCAAAACTTGCAATTGTAAATTTTATATTAACAATATAAATGCTTGAAATATGTCTTCGCTTTGTTTAAAGTGATCTTCAGTTTCAAAAATTTAGTTTTTCAGTTACAGTTTCGGGATTAAAACGCATAAGATTAGGCATGCGAAACATTTATATTTCCTTAAGCATGCAATTCCTTTCTTTTACCCGTGCATCGCATTGTTTTTCTTTTGTCGTGTTAATGTTATTGCCTCATTCATTGTAGAGTGAATTTTCAAGTTTTTCCTATCATCCATTCATTATTTATACCACTGTTTGTTTTTACTTCCTTAGACAGATAGTTAAAGCGCTGCTTCTGTGGCTTGTCAGATCTTTTACATTGATGCAAATTCATATTTTGAAATGTTTTTTGGTTTCTTTATTGGGATTCAGCGTTTTCACTGTCTAACTCTTTTTACATCTTACAAAAAGCCGAAGAAAATCATGCTGTGGGCTTTGATTCTCCCTAAAGCTGCGCAGGAGTAGAATGAAGATGGTGAGCAGAGGCTTCTTATGAGGTGCCAATAGCCTCTCATTGATTCTGGATGAAATAGGCAAGGATGAAATTAGTGTTTAACATTTCTTTTAAAAAATTATCATCTTTTCCCAAAGCAATGAATATCTCCTAATTTAAAAGTTTCTGAAAAATCATTTTGCAAGATATTTGGCTTGGATGAATTGGTACGAAAAATCAAGTTAGTGAAACATGGGTCCAAACTTCAATGAAATATTAAACAGACAGAACTGATCAAAAGACTGACAAATAAACAGTTGTTTTTGTTTTAAGAGGTTGAGAGTATAACACAAGAATACCAAACAATGGATACATAAACGGTATATATTTCAATTCTTGTGACATTATGGCAGTCTGTATCACTAAAACCTGGAAAATCACCATCTGTGGATACTCAGATGATTCCAATTATTTCCAATCAACGAATAAAATAGATCTTATTGGTTGAATTAACCTGTCAATCAAAAGACAAAAACAAGATGGCGGTATGGTTAATCCAAAACCTCATACTGTGTTTACAGACAGTGAAATTCAAATTACAAAACAAGTAATACAGACTTGGCAGATGACAAGAATCCCTTACAATACTGAACATCAATGACAAATGTAATGTTATTTATTAGAATACAACTGCAAACTAAAAAGCAAAGTAAAAGGCAAATGTTGCTCAACTTGATTAGAAAGTTAATCAAATGTTGCTATATTGGATCAGAAAGACTGGGTTAATTAAGTGAGAGACAAGGATGGAATAAATTATCAAATAAAAAAGTCAGACAATGGATATTGTACAAGTAGGACAACATATTAGCTGTAATATATTGCTTCATATCTGTGGGGCACTGACGTATGATGTGTGCATGTGTTGATTTTCAAAAAGAAAAGCATCTAGCCTTGGAAAAGAAAGCAAGATTAATAAAGTGGTATAATTAGTGTCATAAAAATATACAGCTATAAGCTACCGGCTACATGCAAGCATGGTTAACTTTATTCCAAATGTTCAAATTCTTTTGTAATGACCAACAACCGATCCACAGCTGGGGCAACTGTGGGTCACATCTTTGAGGTCATTGATGCAGAATGGAATTAAACAGCATCCAAGCCAAAGTCTAAAATGAAATTTATTATGATTTTATTAACTTTAATCTTTGTAGGTAAATGAATTGCACTGGGATTAGAACAAGCTTCAAACATCAACAAGAAAAAGTTTCATGTAGCAAAATTTACTAGGCGGTCAAAATATCATTGCAGTCATAACAGTTGGCAGTAGCTTTACACAGTTTGGGTCACCCTGCATTGATAACTAAGAGCCCCCAATATTTGGTGTGCAGAACAGGAAGGTTCTTAGTTGCTTCTCTGAATTTCATGCTCAATGCGATAATCAGACAATATATCTAGTTTAATCTCATATCATAACTCTGTCCTCTCCATCACTAGTATATCATAAATTTGTCCTCTATCAAGCATTTGCACTTTTTTCAGAATTAGCACCATCGCCATCATCATCTTCTTTCAAAATCCCATTTCTTACTTCATTTTATTTCTGGTGTACAAAATCAAGGGGGGCTAAAATGAGGGGGGGGCTAAAATGAGTGGGCTAAAAATGAGGGGGGGCTAAAATGAGGGGCTTAATATAAATTTTTTATTGGGGGGGTCTATTGGATAGGGGCATAATTTAGAGGGGGGCTAAATTGAGCTTTAATGGTAATATGGTCTAGGTTTATGGCTTAGATTTCCATCATATGCCATAACTCCTCAAAAGCTTGTAAAAAAGCATACCCAAGTTAGTTGCTGTAGTTGAAAACCACATTTTATAAAGAAAATAAACATTAATAAAGAGAAATAATTTAAAGGCTGATGTGCCTTGTGGTAGTGTCAAGCACTCCATCCAATGAACTGGACAAGGTGTTTGATGAGTCAGGGAGCTTGCGGGTTTTAAAATAGTAATATGAAAGTGGGACCTTTGCTATTCCTTGTGATCTTCTTGTGATAGTTTCTGGAAGGACCACCTGTTTGTCTTATAGGACTACACCCCACTGTTAAGGCAATAAACTCACCCAACTATGCACAGACCCCCAGCAACAAGCCACACCATAAGACCATCTGAGTATGATATAGATGTCACAATGTGAGCACGACAGCTTGGGCATGCGATATTGGCTGGGTAAGGACCAAAGCTTCCAATCGCATGAATCACAGTTGTTGCAGGTTGCATAACAACAGTTGTTGTTGTTGTTGCAGCTCCTGAGCTGTATGTTGTGCCAACTGGTTGAGGGGGGTACCCAGGTTCTAGAACAAACAATTCTAAAATAATCTAGATGTACTGAAAAAAATAAAACAAGGAAAAAGAAACTAGGAACATGACAATGACAAAGGAAAGTAGATACATCTGATACCATATTTATTTGATTACAAGTCACATTTTCTTACAAGCAACCCTTACTTATAAGCTATTTTCCATTATAAGCTGCAGCAAAATTGGTTCATAAGCAAATGTAAGCCACCATTAACTATAAACTGCAAAAATTTGCAGATATATTTGATTTCATAAATTCTCGCTGTGTACTTAAACCAAAACCTAAACATTAGAATTCAACCGACAATAACATCGTTCAGCATGGCATCATCAGTAATTTCAAGAAGTATTTTTCCTCATCTTTTACATAAACACCCTTAGCTTCCAGTGTTGGGAACGTGCACTCAACAGTTACGTAATTGCTGCGTTTGTAAGTAAACTAATGACCTTCGTAATTAGTAGCTAGTGTAGGACACGTGTTAGAGTAGATTGCTTGCTGCTCTATTGTCAGCTAATTAGAAGCTTCTAGAAAGTTCTAATGATCGCCGAGGTAGAACTTTTTAGCACGCGTCACGTAGAGTTAAGTTAGTTGCATGTTTCGCAGTGAACAAGTCGATAGAATCTCAAAACAACAGGTTATGGGCCCAGAACCAAACCACTGCACATGGCTGGAATTGGAGATAAATTCGAAATCGAAAAATTAGATAGGTCAAACTGGCCTACATGGAAGTTTCAAATGAAACATTTGTTGATGGCGAAAGATGTGTGGGATCACGTAGATGGAACGATTTCATTACCTGACGATAATACAACATCTAGAGCTACATACGAAAAGGCCAAGCAAAAGGCAATGGCGACGTTGGTAATGGGAATTCAGTCGAATCTTATCTACTTGGTGACATCATGCGAAACACCGAAGGACCTGTGGGATACTCTCAAAGCCTATTTCGAGAGGGATACGATAGCCAACAAGCTGTTTCTCAAGAGACAATATTTTACTTCAAAAATGCTTGAAGGGCAATCGGTCCAAGATCATTTGAAACGTATGAAGGAAATTGCTGATAAACTCCATGCACTCGGGTCTACAGTAGCTGAAGAAGAGCAAGTCGTGGCATTGCTCATAAGCCTTCCACCAAGCTATACAACACTCGTTACAGCTCTGGAAGCTAAAGGAGATGAACTATCACTGTCCTTCGTCCAGCAAGCCCTTATCAATGAAGAGCAGAAAAAACAGGCCTTCAAAGCAACCGCAACGACTAAAATTAATCGAGACTCAGCATTACATTTGGAAAAGGGCATCAGCAGGCCTTTCAAAGGCAA